ATATAACTGGGATATATTTTCACTGGGACATTGTGTGCAGCAACGGACACTCTGATGTATGTATTTTTAGATTCTTGCTAAGTTTGTACTTTATGTTTGATATATTTATTATATATTACTGTAAATAAATTATTGTTAAGTTTAAATTGTGTTATTGATCTTTGCTGGCATTTCGGGTAATTCTGACCCATAACAGTAACAATCATACAAACTACAGGAAAATTTATAACCATAATACTACATGAAAGTAAAGCTTGTTATACCACTTACCAAACTAGTCCACTCTACACGCTAGCTTTTATAAACTGCACATTGTATAAAGAGAACCAACCTTTTTAACTATTTAAAGCCATATATGGCGTATGTACATTGAAAATTATTAGACTAAAATTATGAGAACTTATTATTTGTATCATTACTTTATATAAAGATAGAACTTTTCCGTAAATTACAAAATCTAAGTCAATTGCGTTATAAAGATATCACAATTTAATTTGGATTCTCGGAATTTTCTCCGACTCGGAAGAAAATACAAAAGATTTAAATAACACATTACAGAGAAGATAAAATTGTATTATTAGATGAAACGAGGTGTTCTCCATGTTCAGAATTGTATGAAAAGCTTTAATTTAAATGTATTAACTATATTTCTTTACTTAATTTTGTATTTTTCAAAAATATATTTTTTTGATCAGTTACGCCATATATGGCTTTAAGCAATATTAAGACACCTATGACACTGAACCGCAGTCCCACCTTGATAAGAGCTGAACACATGCCCCTGTCCTGTACATAAGACAGAACCTGGCTGTGGGTCATCTTGGTCCAGTCTGCCGCTGAGGACGGGTCAAGGACATTCAGCAGGTCAAGCAGGTCACCAGCCCCATTCAACACTTGGAAAGCAAAAACATCCAGATCCTGTAGAGCAAGGGAGTATGTACCAATAATTAATAAACCAAAGCCATGAAGTGTTACAGACAGGAACTTATTTGATGAAGTATTTATTTGTAAACTCTCAAGACAGTGTTTGAAAATACTGGTAGAGTCAGCAGGTAAGATAAGATGTGCCATCTTGAAAATTCTATATATAATTATCTTGACCTTATTTGTTCTTCTGAAAAACAATAAACTTTCCTACAAAGATGCATAGTTGACAATGTCAGCAAGGCAACATATTATTTCATTGTGAAACATATGAAACTCCATACATGTACATAGGATGGGTTTTCAAAATGTTTGTGAACTAAATTAAAACTGCTTTATAGGCATATCAAAGAAATTTAACACATTAAGTAGAATCATCTTTTCTAGTTCAAGGTATCAAGCTAAAATTTTCAAGATTTCATAAACTTCTGTTGTTTTATGTTCATTATAAATTCTGTAAGCACAGACTACATAGTATTTATTTTATCGCATCAGTCCAAGAACTTTTTGATAACCCCAAATTGTACATGTATTGAACTGATGTATAAAAACATGCAGTGAGAAAAGTCTCCTCTCTCAGGCTACTTATATCATATCAGCTGATTACCTGCCCAGACTTTGCCACTGACTTATATCCAGCTACCAGTCCATCAAACTGTGCCATAATGAGACCTACATGCCTCCACAGGGGATCATTTGAACTCTTTTTGATCATACTCCTCATCCACATGTTCTGTTGATCAAACCATTTTGCAAGATTCTTCACCACATCTTCTTTTCTTTGACTCAAGAAAAAATCCTTCAAATTCTGGTAATGCTGCCAAATTCTCCTGAAATAAACTGCGTAGATTAATTTCTGCAGTTAAGTGACTCCAAGGGCAAATTTTGCCAAGCTGCTCACAGAGAGCTTTGCTACATTTGACACCCTAAATAATAATAGAAGCAGTACACACCAGGACATACCATATATTGTAGTGATTGAATTTAATCATTTTACCCAACAACAAAGTTACAAAAGAAAAATTAAAATATTTTTAAACCCAACTCCCTAAACTTTAGACAAGAATTCTTACAATTAATTGAATTATTTGTTCTGACAGTTCACTGCTAAATGTAAAAATTCTCCTACCCTAAATATTTTTGTCACAGAAATCATTAACAGCATTGACTCAGCCTTAGCCCTGACAGGACGTTAACTTATCTTATTTTTTCTTAATTATCTCCCCTTGGAAGATGGTGTGACCAACAACACACAATGTAGGAATTGTGACCAGAAAAGGTCATCTCAGCCTTTTACTCTGGTGAGCATGGTGAGATAAAAATAATTATTATAAATAGATCTATATTATATAAAATTATTTTTAAATTTCACATTAAACACTTGCTGCAGAACTGTAGTGTTATGGTTTAAAATATTATAGTCTTAAACCATAATCCTACAAATTCTGTAATGCAAAAAATGTGCAATTTACAGCACAAGGTTTTTTACACACTGTTTGGAGAACTTCTCTACTTTCCAACAGATTGGTAAATCATCTAGTACCTTTTACCCCCTAATTCCAGACACATTCTTAAACCTTTCTGTATATTTTATCGACCTCATAACATTTAAAAGTCAAATCTACAAGCGATAAACTTGCTTGATTTGAACTGTAATAGGGAATATTTCAGAAAATTCTAATTTAAGCAAATTTATAACTCGTAGAGACAATTATAAAGGATTGGGAGGTGTATAAAATATACATATTTATTTTTCAAAATGTTTCTAGAATTATGGAGGGAAAGGTACATAGATGATTTACCAATGTTGAAATTCCCCCAAACAGTGCACAAAAAATCTGGAGCCATAAATTGCACAATTTTGTATTACAGCATTTGTAGCATTATGGTCAAAGATTAATTTATAAAACCATAATGCTAAACAGTTGAGCATCGTTCCAAGTCAAGAGATTCTGATCTGCTCCGCTCCACATAATCAGTCCAGTCCAATACGAAAATTCGTAATATTACGAAAAAACGTAAGATTACGAGAAAGCGTAATATTACAAGTTATCGTAATATAAAACTTATATTACAATTTTTCGTAATGTAGTTAAATTACGAATACGCGTAATATAGCAGATGTAAGAGACTATATTACGAGTTTTCATAATCCAAGACAAATTCAAGCATTGCAAGAAATTGAGTGGTGGGTAGCAAAGTATGGCATTTAATACGAGATGTCACGGGCGATAACTTGTACGACTCTTACTGAGATTTGAATTCTGTGTATTTCAATAAGAATTGCATGAACAGTTGAATTATGAGACAAGGGTGTGATTTTTAGGGTAGACTTCGCAAGAAAAGTAGGGAGTTCGGGTGATATAGACCAATGTGACATGCTTAAGTGAATATTGAAATTTACTGGAAAATTGGTCTTATCCTTGGGAAAATTCCTATAAAAGAATAATAAAAGAAATTGTCCACTCACCTATCGCTGGCGGTACTTTCTTCTTGAATTTCCATGCTTTCTGATAGGCGTAACTGACCAAACTGACCGCGTGCTATCAGTAGCCGTGGAATCTGATATATTACTGACGTCATACTTTGCTACCCACCACTCAATTTCTTGCAATGCTTGACTTTGTCTTGGATTACGAAAACTCGTAATATAGTCTCTTACAGTCTGCTATATTACGCGTATTCGTAATTTAACTACATTACGAAAAATTGTAATATAAGTTTTATATTACGATAACTTGTAATATTACGCTTTCTCGTAACCTTCCGTTTTTCCGTAATATTACGAATTTTCGTATTGGACTGGACTGATAATGTAAAGCAAAGCCCATCAGAAACTCTTGACTTGGAAAGATGTAGTTGTGCAGCTAATTGAACAGTATCAATGTACTTACTCTGCAGTGAAGACGCCCTCTAGATATCCTGCACCAAACATGATGTCCAGGTCTTCATCATTTCCCTGCCCACCAACAATATCCAGGATCCCCCATCCTGTTTGAATTAGCGTGTCATTATAGGTACCACAGGCCGTTCCCTTAAAGTCCAAAGCATTTGGCCGGTATGAACATTTCTGGTCTTTACATGTGACAGTTCCGTAAGTGTATTCTCCTGAAAAAAAAGTTTTTGTTTTTAAATTTCTATCAGTAAAATCGCTTTTAATTTTAAGCCTGTGTTTCAAATGTGGAAAAATATGCTACCATTTGACCCATAAACTGATAACTGAAGAAAAACACATAAAATGAAAGCTTTCCAATACTTCCAAATCGCACGACTGTTTTCCATTTTTTCAAGTTGAAAGTAGAGTCATATGGTTGTCATGTGACTTTATATGATCACGAGTAATAATAAACAACTTGTACGAATAATTCTTGAAAGAAATTGTTGTTTTTGTCGAAATAAGACGCTTAGAACATTTGTTTTCACTTTGAATACAATATCCATTAATAAAGTTCCTATATAATAAGAAATATGATAATTATTTAGCTTCAACTTAGCTTTAATGCTATTTGAAAAAATTAAGTTTTGAGACGGCCTACTTTTCTCACAAGTTGTGACGTCAAATCTTCGATGATAGACGCGCCTCTGTTTCGGCTTTTTGTGTGTGTTGTTCCCGCGAAAGGGAAGTGAACGAAAGATCATTGGTGTGATCAAAGATGAAATCGAAAAAGCGGCCCAGGGAGAATACTCCCGTTGTGGACGCCCAGACGGAAGCAGCCGATCGAGAACAGTTCTTGAAGGCATTTGAAAGTAAATCGCTTTTGTGGTTGTAGACAGGTGGTGAATGCTGTGGTCTACATCTATCAGTGATATGTTTCTTGATCTATAAAAGTTTCCTTATCCCTTTTGGTCATTTTAGAATGCTGTTATCTCATTTATGGAAAAAAATCAAATGTACCAATGACATGTAACTTTATATTTAAATTATACTTATGGTATGTCAATGATATGACACATTAAAAGGCCTGTACATAGAAGAATCAATTAGTCGGAAAAATAATTGTTTGAAGGGATGTTTTGGGATTTTATATATACAACACAAAAAAAGTTGAATTTACTGCACAACCTGTCTGTATTTGTGCACTTTTATTGTTGTAATTCACATAGAGTGTCAAAAAATCAGTTTAGTTATCTAAATAATTTTCCGCTTACCTGGAACACTAAATAAAAGACACATTTTCTGCTTGGTATCAAGAACGTACATGTACATTGTTAAGAAGAAGTATACTTCCTCCGCGCTCCGAGAATAATATTGATGAAGCTGATTGCATTTGCATAGATTTCCATTTTCAAACCAGATTATAAAATTCCTAATCTGTGTTTTTCAGAACCAACACAGATTTATCGCTATCTAAGAACCAGACATCAAATTTCTGTAAGTAGAATATCGTATAGATTGAGAATAGCATTATTTAAATACCGTAAATCTGGAAATTTTTATGTCGATTTTATTTTGCGAATTCGGGTCAAAATACTGTTGATTAATTTTTACGTTTCAAAATTTTGCGAATGACTACTGCTTTGTTCACATTTTCTTATTGGTGATTTATTTTTAAGAAAAATATTTTTGCGAATGCAATGAACTCGCAAATTTGCTTAAAATTTATCTACAGCAAAAATTTCCAGATTTACGGTAATATTTATAATCACTTAAAGGAACACTTTGTATCTGAATTGAAATGTGTGAGTTCTGATAAAATCTTAAATTTAACAGCTGTATAAGACTAGGTATTATTTCATCAAAATTAATTACAATTGTAATGTACATCTTTCCATATCTGAAGGTTCCACAGTGTTTGTATAAATCTACTAATTCAAAATTATTGCTTACATTTCTGCATTTTTTTTTTCAGCCAATTATTCTGCATAGAACATTGACTTACATGAAAGAAAGAAGATCAGTAGGCAATTCTAAGAGGTATGTCATTTGTCTATAGCATAAAAATAAATAAGTGAACCAACGAGGTGAACCATATTTTTCAAAGGTTGAAGGATACTGATTTTTATATCAAAGATATCTTGCTTACAGTAGATTTTTTTTCAGAAAAAGCTTTGATGTAAACTCCATACTGAAGACAATCACAGATGATAAACAGAAAACTTCCACTAAAACAGAGAAGTATGAATTGGATAGTCTGAAAGTTATACTTGAAGTACAAAATTAAGTCATTCAACTTATCCTATGTGATGTGTGATTCATCATTTTTCTTATGATATTCATTATTAAGCTTCTTTTCTGAATGAATTGATAAACTTTTCATCATAAATTTATTTATTATTTGTCTTTACTTTTATTGACCAAGTAAAGGAAAAAAAATTATATATAGATTTTTTTTTTCATAAAGTATGAAATAAGTAGGGTAGAAATTATTTTGTTTTTCAGAACAAAGTCCTTAAATTTAAGAATTGCAGGATACTTTTGTGAGGATGGTAAATATGTTAAAGTCAACCCTTTGTTTGAGGAAAAATAGTGTTTAAAAAGTAAGATGCAGAATGATCATTATTAAAATTAAAGGAAACTTCATAAGTGTGATATTCTGTTTTACAGAATTCAGAGTATCAGTGTATATTTTTCTTCTGATTTATAGAGAGTAATGACATGGTGGATGTAGAAGTATCCCTCCTCCAGGTGTGTGAGAAGCGGCGGGGTGGATCAGTGACCTCGGTGACGAAGACCTCCTTAAAGACCCTCCAGGTTCCTGTCAACCCCAGCAGAGAAGAGAGTCCAGAACCATTCACCATCTCCCACGAATGCTTCAACAACAATCACATCTTACCCGTCAAACCTCTCATACTGTGTCTCAGTGTCAACACCTCACCAAAAAATGGTATGGTCAACGGGCAGTGCAATGGAAACATAGACTCAACTGATGGTAACTTTTGGGTTTTTTTTTTATTAATCTAATAGGGTGTATTGCGATGTGGCATTTAATTATGTCCATCCATCTAGTAGCTTTTTGTTGTCCAGCTCATAACTTAAATAGTGTTCATTTCATAAATAAGATCCTCTGTTATATTTTTTATACCATTATGAAATGTTTTAGAAGAACTACCAAATAAAAAGAGAAGAAATGGTCAGTTTGCTCCAGATGGTATTGAAAAGCCAGTTTTTAGCACAGAGGTGGTAATCTTGGATAGAAACAAGAAATGTCATCTAGTCAATGGGGACTATGAGTTTGTTTTACATGAACAGGGGGCAGACTTTAAGAATGCATCCTGGGAAACAGTCATGAATGGCAAGGTAAATTAGCAATTGTACACTGTAGTATATATTTCCTTGAAATATACATTAAAATTGTAGAATGATTATTTTCATGATTGTATATGTGGAGTCAAACCTCATTATCTTAGACTTGATGGGATTGATAGATAAACTGAGATACATGTATTTTAGGACTCGAGGTATTGGAATATCAGAAGAATTAATTGTCCACTTCATTATAAGTGTGTTTCTCTGTATACTTTTACTGTGCATTGATTCTGATTCAGGTTTTTCCTTTTTCAGCATGTTCAGGCTTTTGAGGTGTTTAACTTTCATCCCACACTCAAGTGCTCTATAGACTGGACCATTAATGGTAAACCAGACAGCTCAATCAACTCAGGGGCTTCAGATACTCATACACAGTACATAATGGACAACAGACTCGCACAAGTTCCCCTCAACTCAGGGACCATCTCAAAAGAGGAGGAACAAAGCACTCCAAAGAAAAGGCAGCGTGTATTTTACCAGTTTCTCTACAACAACAGTACTCGCCACCAGAACGAGGCTCGGGATGACCTTCGTTGTCCTTGGTGTGCACTCAACTGCATCCATTTATATGGACTCCTCAAACATCTCAGACTCTGTCATGCTCGATTTAATTTTATTTCTGTGGTAAGATTCATTATTGGTACATGTATTATATACAGCTAATGATTTTCTTGAGGACATATCAATAATTTAACTACCATCTATGAAGAAAAAGTACAGGACTTGCAGATTAATATATTTTAGTTTTCATTTTAGCCACATCATAAGGGTGTGAGGATAGATGTTACAATTAATGAGCGCTATGATGGATCGTATGCAGGGAATCCCCAAAATCTCTACAGCAATGTTGATATTGGTTACGCATTTAGACGCAATGGACCTGTACGGAGAACCCCTGTCACACAAGTGCTCGTATATAGGTAATCCACAGTTTGATAAAAGGAGAATCGGGAAGATGTTAATCAGAAACCCATGTAAACTTCTCTGTGTGAAATGTAAATGGATAGAAAATTGATAATAGAAAATTAATATATGCACTCCAAGAATGTTTCAAATGAAATGTATAAATATAGACATTATTATGTGTACAGAGTATATACTGATCATATCGTCTTGGATTTCAGACCAAAGAGACCTGCACAGTCATTGACCGAGTTCATGGAACCTGAAAATGACATACAGATCAACAGACAGTTCATGCAGGGTCACAACAGGTGTGTAATGCATTGTGTGAAAATAGTACATGTATTTGTGCGAGATAGAGGGACATTACTGTAAAATACATGTACAATGTATTCACTACAGTAAAACTCGTTTAGTACGAACACGGATATTGCGAATTCACGGATATAGCGAAGTCATCTTGGATCCCCATCTATATAAATTTAATGAATATCTTATACGGATATAATGAATTACGGATATAGCGAAGTAATTTGATAGGTCCCGGTGACTTTGTTATAAACGAGTTTTGCTGTATAAACTTGTCAGTACAGATTTGGGTTATGTCTGTTCTTGTTGTTTAAGGCTGTATTACCACACCATGACATCAGAAGTCATCCGACCACAGGAAATAGATGTAGACAGTGAGGAAGAAACCGACCCAATCTGGCTCCGACAGAAAACCGTCAATGTAAGATTATCTTTATTAGAAATATGAACAATACAAATATAAGAAGAGCTGACACAAAATTCTACTGAAGAATGGCTGTCTTAACACTAAAACTACATGTTCTTTACTTAACGTGTATATTGAAAATGTTAAAGATTTGAAGCAGGTATACTTGCTTGTAAATGTTTAAAAGCCTTTTTTTCACTATTTATTTCTCGTTTTTTTTTTTAGTATAACAAAGTAGTACAAATTTACCAGTACTTGATTTATATGTAATGTTTATTAAACAGATGATTGATGAATTTACCGATGTTAATGAGGGTGAGAAGGAGTTGATGAAGTTGTGGAATCTTCATGTCATGAAATACAAGTAAGTCTCTTTTTTCCATCTTCAAAAATATGTGGCTAAAAGTTATCGGTTTTCTTGAGTATAATATTATGTTAAATATCTGTTTTGCTATTGCCCTGATAAAATTTTCAAAAGTAATGATGTCACAGAATTTTGTTTTGATTTGTTTGTATTAAGGTGCATATGCTTTCTGTTTTTAGTTTCATTTCGGACTGTCAGATCCCAGAGGCCTGTTACTCGTTTGTACGGGAACATGGAGTGGAACTAATCAAGAAAAATCTCAACAAAAACTTTCTGGTCCACATGGTCAACATGTTTGACTTCAGCTTGATTCGTCCAGATGTAGTTCACAAGACAATGAGACTTCTGGATGAAGTAGATGATTACTTCCATAGATCCTGAGAATAAGAAAGATATATATGTATATAATTTATAACAGTTGAGATCTGTATTTATTAACTAGATCTGTATTTATGTTGAAATCCATCTCTCTAATGGATTTTTAAGATTAATTTTTAGAAAGTGGTGACATTAGATACGAAAAAAATATTTCCGTCCACCTCAAATTAATCTTAAAGTCATCTGTTTTAAGGGCATCCGTGATTATCAATGGTTCCAGTAAAAATTACAGGAAATTGAATGATATTACACTAATCTGTTTTAAACAAATCAAGGATATGTGTGACAAAAAAAAATCTAGAATCAAATATGTAATGTAGTACTTATTTAGATATGTATGCCATCCTTCATATCAAATTCAAGTGGAACTTCATGAAATATATCTTGTGAACATTCCATCTGAACAACTATATTTTCTCTTCAGTGTGTACACTTATAGACCTTTATACATAGGCAACTTAATTTATTATTCGAGGAATTGGAAAACAATATTTTATGAACATTATCAGAGGAGGAGTAGTGATAACTAAATATTATTATACTATCATGTTTTTGATTTATCAAATATTTCTGATTGTGCTTACATTGCAATTACAGTTTTTAAAGTACATGTATTATACTAACGAAGTCATAACTAAGTCATGTTATTTTCCAAATTTCCTATAATATATATAAAAATTTATTGATAAATGATGTGTATTTGTTAATTTATAGAATGAATATGAAGAAACATTTTTGTGCTGTGTTTCTTTTATGTACATGTGTAGGTGTTTAAAATTTGTAAAGGTTATGTTGTGAAATGAATTCACATTTACCATCTACTCAGGGTTATTTTCCTCTTCCCTATGCATCAAATCAGGAAAAATAATCAGGGATCCCAAATAAACAGGTCAGTTCTGTAAAGCTCACTTACTCCAAATGTACCATCTTCAAAGCAAGTACTGGGCACCAGAGAATAACGATATATTTACCAGTTGTATTTTAACTCGCAAAATTTCAAAAATATTGAAATGAATTAAATGTGCATTTCATATGTTGTACATGTATATGTATGTAACTTCAGATATTGAAGAACTAATATAATTTCAATTAAATATTACAATTGTATTATAGACAGTTGTAAATTAAGTTGTAGAGTCATTCAATTCATACGCTGCCCTAAAGGGTAAGGACCAGACAAGAACTAAGATGTATTAAAAGTACATACATGTACCAATATGTTGGGCAAACTCATTCTTAATTTTGTAATTTATTAAAAGAAAAGAATTAAAAGAAAAAAAACATGTATTTATTGCATATGCATTATTGAAAGAGTCTGTAGTACAACACCTGCATGTATTTTTAAGAACTACATTGTACATTCCAAACTATCTGTATTTGAAGCATTGAGTCTTAGGTTTGAATCAGTCTATTTCAAAGGATGGATTGATCTAGGGGCAATAAGTTTCAGAAATAAAGTTATGATGGGGTTCACACATTTCTGCTGATGTGATTTT